TGGGCACATCTGTTTGCTTTTTCATTGCCTGTCTCAAAGGTTGAATGTATGTATTTCCTATAAATGTTAATTGCTGAATGCTAAAAGGGTATCAGGGGCTTCTAGCTAAACACACATATCTAGAGAATTAAGTGACTAGACAGTTTTGCAATATAACTAATGTAGAAAATAGTCTCTGTAGGGCCGTTCTCGTATGAGTAGACGAATGGATTACGTAGGTGAACATTTACAGTGAAATTGGGCATTAAAATGTTGAATCTAATATAAGTTTATACTTGTCATTTCTTACTTAGCCTAGTTGCTGTAGAGAGAGGCTGTATCTCCTGTTTTTTTGATGCAACCTATGCCTTGCATACTATGAAAATTAACGAAGTAGTGTACCTCAGCATTTAATAGCATTGTCATAGCTTTCCATTTAAAAAACATCAGCAAGGTGTCTTAAAGCAATTATCCATGTGCAGCTACTGGTTTAGCAATCTTTCATGTAAGCAAACATATTAAGTTAAAGTAGCATTTGTAGTGGGCTCCATTTGAGAGAAAAATTGCTCTTGCAGCTATATGTTGGAGATGGGGGCTAAGAATAAGTGTTTTTAAATTCAATTGTTTAAAATGCATGCTTCATGGAAATAGTGATGGGTATTCTTTTGTTGTCAGCATCAGCAAGAACATTTATATGCTGAGCTAGCAACTCAGAATCAATCATACTGTGGATTTATTATTTAATAAATTCTATAGGGTTGTGGTTTTGCAGCATGGATTTCCTCTACTGGATTATATTGTTTACATATAATCTTTCTGTTCCACTTAGAATCTGAATGTTGTAGAAAAGAGTATTGTGAACTGCTATTTCCCTAAAAAAAAGAGTAGATATTGCCAGGGTGGCTTTTTTCTTGTTGTTTTTAAAACTCTAATGTCATCATTTCCATTAATAAGGAAAAATAGCAAAACAAAAGTGAGTTTGAATTCTATATTTTAAACAGGGTTTTTTTATTGTGAGCCATATGTTATTTATTTAAAATATTTAAATACTGATAGAAAGTTTTCATGGTAGTTAAGTATTTAAAAAACCTGTTTGGAAAAAAAGGCATGTGTGCATAATACAAACCCAAGTTGGACATGAGTGGGCACAGTAGTATGGGAAGATTCTTGAAGTTCAGCTGAACTCAGTGTTTCTATCTAAGGGAGCAGCACAGAGTACATAGAATCATTTAGGTTGGAAAAGTCCACTAAGGTTACCCAGTCCAACTATTAACCCTGCACTGCCAGGTTCACTAGGAAACTACTTACCCAAGTGCCACATTTACAGGTCTTTTAAACACCTCCAGGGATGGTGACTTCACCACTTCCCTGGCAGCCTCTTCCAATGCTTGACAACCCTTTCAGTGAAGAAATTGAGGTTTGGGATCTCAAAAAATAGGGAGAATATCAATTGCATCTCCTGTCCTGACTTCTGCCAGGCAAGAGTGATTGGTACAAAACATACCTTTAAAACTGATTCCAAGATTCGGCATCTTTCCACTAGCATTAGGTCTTGAAAGACAGTACTGCAGCTACAGTTGTAACTGTTGATTTACAGTACAATCAGAAGAGAAAACATTCACTGTGAGTGGTTAGGGAAAAAAAAGAATAGAAAATACTAAAGAAAATATGTAAAGAGGAGTTTGGGAATATTGAGGTAATGGAAGAATGTAAATCTTCTCTTATTTTGAAATGAAATGCAGCTTTAGGTAACAGTTAATTAATTAATAAACATACTTCATATTCAAAGCTCATAATTTCTCTTTTTATTATTATTATTTGGAATTAGGCCAGTGGCTAAAACCTGCAGTGAGATAAAAAGATTATGTAATTAAAATTTTTTTTCCACAGAATGTATGATAATACTGTCCTGCTCCTGCTGTTGCATTTGCTTAATAACATATATTCACATTTGCTTCAGTAGCAGCAAGGATAGCTTATATGTGTTTTGTGGTCTTTTTGGATTACTCCCCACATAGAGGTCCACAGATTGGTAGAAGTCCATTTTTCATCATGGACTTGAAAGCCTGAGATTAATTAAAATATGCTTTCATGGCTGTGAAACAGAATTTGTCCAGATAAGGTTTTTAAAATTGTTGTCCTTTTTCAAGGTATTATGCAGGGAACAGTTAAATTACTAGGAACTTGGTCAATGTGAGTAATTTATCTTCATGATTTATTAGAAGAAATTAACTGCTGAGCTTGTCAGAACCAGCTTTTTCATTGACAAAGAATCCAAAAACCAAGGTTCTGTGTCTTCTGAACTCCTCTTTTCTCCTACTCTTCCAACCATACTGACATTAGCAGTATAGAAACTTCATATGTGTGATGAGAATGCAGGTGAGATAGAGCAGCTATGTTGGTGTTTTTGGTGAAAGACACCAAATTAGAAATGTGTCCTTTGTGTGGGCTATGAGTACACACAGGTCAAAATTTAGACATGAATCCATGGGAAAATAAATTCCAGCAGATTTTGTGTTAGTCGGTGATTCTCCAGAATCAGTTGAGGAAAATTCAAAGACAAAATGCAGTGTCTAAAATGTGATGCAGTTGAAATGGGAGGAAACACTTGGCTGATTGGAGAGGAGGTCACACGTGGATTGCTGTGTGAGTAAGCACATAGAGCACCAAAGGGCACTGTGTAGGTGCTGAGTTGATTTAAATGTCCTTAGGGATAAGTGCTGCTGAATAGTCTGATTTCTCCATCATTGCATGGTCTGGGTATACAAGTCATATCTGAACTGCCAAAGGAAATGGTTTTGCCCTTCCACAAAGTGTCACATAGCTGCATTTGTTATTTTTACTGTATAATCCATTTTACCCCCCATTCTTTATTTTCAAGGTGATAAAGATACATAATGTCCAAAGGCTTTTATAACTTTGTGCTTAAATAATTTTACTGAATAGAAGCTAAAAGGAAGTACCACTTGCACTTTTGTGATCTCCTTCCTATTAAGTGAGCAATACTTGTGGGAGTAATCAAGTAAGGTTAGTTGGCAATAGCTTTTCTGCTTGTTGATATATTGACAGCCTTTGGAATATGATTTAGAATTCACCCTTTTAGATCCTTTATAACTTTTGTGCTGTCTTATGATGGTGCATCACTGTTAAGAGCAATTAACTATAAGCAGAATAGCTGTTAGGAATGTTTTTGTAAATTTTTTTTTTCACTGAAAAGTATAGCAAAAATTTGCAAAATTAACTTTTGCAAAGAGGCTTTTTCAGCTTCAAGTGCCTAATCATTCCGTAAACATAAAGTGGAAAACATGAATGGATTTCGGAAAACATAACTGATTATATAGTAGCAGCACTTCAATGGCATTTATTGTGGAGTGTGAAGATGATAGCAAAATTGTAAAATGTAGGACTCTGTGGTAACTGTAGGTGTTTTGGGTAAGTGGTGTGTAATGAAAGAGAGAAAATTTATCACCTGTCACTATGTGCTGCATAGAAATTTCTGGTATGTGTTTCTTGCAGAGAGTTTGAATGCCTGGGACCTCTTTAGCTCCTTCAGCTCCAGCTGGCTATTTAATAAGCTCTGAAGGCTGATCACACCATTGAGGTTCTGCAATTGTCGTATTCTGTCAATGATATCTTACATTTAATTGTGACTCTAGTCTGTCTATTATCTTTTTCTCTATTTGTCTCAGGCTGGGGCAGAGAGGTTAGAACGTGTATGGGATAGGACAGAGTCAGAGAAGGGCTCATTGTGTTATAAAACTCAATCACTCTGATAGAAATTCAATATCAGATTATAAAGTGGAGAATAAACTTTTATTTTATACAGGTCACCACTTAGTATAATGCCTGGTCTCAAGCAGGACCCTGTATATTAAATCTTTTATCTTAGTCATAGTTAAAACTTCAGTGAAAGCACAATATGATCATCAAGGTAAGTTCAGAGTTACTTTGTATTAGAGAAAGAGTTTCAATGCAGTGTGAATATTAGCAGGTAGTTATTCTTGTGGTCTGGGGACATATTGACATATTTACCAGAGAGCCATTATTAAGTTTTGTGCACTTGGTTAGGAATCAGACATTGGAATGTGCTGCCCAGGGAGGTGGTGGATTCACCATCCCTGGAGGTTTTTAAGATGAGACTGGATGTGGCACTTAGTGCCATGGTCTAGTCACCACGGTAGGGTTGGGCTTGATGATCTTGGAGGACTTTTCCAACCAGGTTGATTCTAGGATTCTGTGAATAAGAGGTGCTGCCTAAACAAGGTAGTAATTCAAATAAGCAGGGGAAGAAAAAGCCAAAAGGGAGTTCAAGAATTGGGAATATAAGGGTTTGTTTTGAGGTGAGACTATAACAGCCAGCAAGTGTGGCAGTGAGCCACTGTGGAAAGAATTACTTGACCCACTGAGCTTAAAATGGAGTGGAGTGATGATGTTATTGTCATTCTCCTTCTGTTCAAATTTCAAGTGCTTTTAAAGGTTTCTGCTCCTTGCTTCTAGAAAATTCTTGTTGTGGACTATACTTGTAGTATTAACTTTGCCGGTATACAACAGGTTTCAAAGCTTTTTGTTCACTTTTGTCAAAAGCAAAAGAGTTCTGTTATATTAGATGGTTTGCCAAACATCTGCAGTAATAATTTCATTAGACTTTTGAAACCTTATCAGTTGTAGCACTGCTTTTGTAATTGGTCTGGATTTCACCCTATATACAACAGATGTGTTTTTCATAACGTTCTGTATTGCACACTGAAATGGTGGATTTCAGTTGGCTATTCCAAAACTGCTGTTATTTAAGGTGTGGAGGAGAACCCCTAATGACATATTAACTGTTTTTAACTCTACAGAAATAAACTAAATGATGTGCCAGTGAAATCTGCAAAAAGCTTAATTGAAGTAGTAATATATGTATTAACATAGCTTGTAGGAAATGTGTCCAGGATGTATTAAAATCTATGAAAATTCCTTTAGTCATGCATAGTAAAATATGGGTGAAGAAATCTCACTTTTTGTTTTTGATTTTCCAGCTTGCACGTGCAGTGGACATGCAAATATCTGTCATATGCAAACAGGAAAATGTTTCTGCACAACTAAGGGAATCAAAGGAGACCAGTGTCAACTGTGAGTACAATTAAATGTAGCCTAAAGTTATTGCAGTTCATGCCTAATGTATAACCACTTTCCTCTGCCTCTTTTTGTTTTGGATTTTGGTTTGACCTTATAATGTTTTAGTGGTGAATCTAGTGGTCCCTACATATTCTAGGAAATTTCATATTAGTTAGACTTTTATTAAAAAATTACATCACAAATATTAGTGATGTTTTGCAGACACTACAGACTTATAAAAATCCTATTAAAAGAAGCAACTGGAGAACTACCTGTAGTTGTCTTTCTTTTTTTAGGTTTTTAAAAAATCATTGGAAGTAAAAACCATATGCAAAATCAGTAATTATATTCAATATATTTATCACATATCTTGATCAGAATCTGCAGTGATTAGCTTTTTAGCATTTTGGAGCCTTATTAAGGTGCTGTGTTAGACATTTTCCTACATCATTAAATATAAACCAGAGGAATGTGCAGACCTGTCATGGGAAGTACAATCTATGTATCTTGTTTTGTACTGGAATAGCTTATTGTGTTTAGAAGAAGAGTTTGCAACTTCAGATAGAATATAATAAATGGAGCACTAAGAACACAAAAGTACTAAAGTAGAGTAACTTGTCAAGTAGGAGAAATAACACATTGAAGTTAGTTTTGAATAGTCTTACATTTGAAAGCGTTCCTTTCAGTCCTTTCTAGCCTGTACAGTGTTATTAAATAGGAACCTTATTCCTTTCACAATTATTGTTATTCTAATAGTATCTGGCAAGAAAACCATCTTAGCAATGTTGGTTGGAACTGAGCAAAAGGCACATAAATACAGCTTATTCCTCTCCAGCAGTGAGAGGTGGCAGAAGGTGATGTTCTGCCTGCCACAAGGCATCTACTTTCACCAGATTTGTGAATTTGCCTTGATACACTTAATGAACTGGCTTGAATCCTACCCTTAATGCTGTGCTTGATAAACAAGTCAAGAAACAAAAATTTCTGATGCAGAAGTGATGTGTATATTCGTGAGAAAGAGCTGTGCTGGCAGGTATACTGTTTCTGTGCTGCCTCTGGGACTTTTTGTACAGCTAATTGAAGACTCAGGGTGAGACAGGAAATCAAGATAAGGACTAAATGATGAATTTTTATCATGACAAAAGCTGGAGTGATAATATCTTTAAACTCTGACTTAAGTCTTCACTGAGAATTTTTTTTCCCCTCTCTTTGTGTCCAAACAATTAATCAGTTCTACATGTTAATGAGTGATTTGATTACCAGCATACTGTGGTCTTATATTGATGCCATTCTACCTATTTACAAAGAATGGGATGAAAACCAACTACTTCTCTCTACTTTGTAACACTCCAACCATAGAAAACAGTTTCTCTGCTCATTATGCAGATTCTCTACCAGCTACCCTCCATCTAAGGCATTCTTTATTGACATTCCCCAGTCTGTATTTCATGTACCTGTGTTGCTTTCCCTTTGTCTTTTGTCTGGTTCATCATTGTCTTTTTCCACTCTGATTTGAAGCTTTTGTCTGATGTAATTGGTTGTGCTGCTCAGCTGTATCTGTCTGGTGTCCTGAGTTTGTCTCTCCTAAAAGGTTCTTGTATCCCATTTACTGAACTAGAAGAGAAAAAGTTTTCCTGTCCTGGTTAGGGGTTACAGCAGTTCAACAAGATAGAGGAAATGGAAATTTGAATTTTTACTTTTCAAGAGTGAATTTAAAATTTCAGACTGAAAATCTCTGGTTTTGTCACATTTACTACATTTCCCTTCTAGGTTCATACACAGACCAAAGGCTTATCCAGGGCAAACTGTGGTGTTAAAGCATTTGGTATTCCAAGTGGTGGGTTTTCTGGTGGTGTTGTGTTGGGGTTTTTTTGTGTTTTTTTTGTGGTTTTTTTTATAAGTAAAATCTGCAGAGCAACCATTGTTAACTTGTTTTTGGCTGTGGTGAGATTTCAGATTGTGAGATTTCACATCTGTTGGATTCATAGACACAAATAAAAATTGAATTTCTGCTCTTAAGTCCTTTCCTACTTCTGCTCTTTAAAAATATACCAAAAAAAAAAAAAAAAAAAGGCGGCATAGACTATCTAGGTTATGAGAACAGCACATGTAGAAAAAGACCAGTTCCAGTTGTAGACACTTTGAATGTATTAGGAGACTACCTAGGATAAAATTTCAGTTCCAGACACTCATTGTTAAGATCATTTGATATCCTGAGGAAAGCAAATAACCACAGATTTAGAGTTGGAGCACATGTCATTAGTTGACATGTTTAGGATCTCACTCTGATGCTGGCTTAGGGAGTGTGATCCATTCATGTATGGAAGTTTCAGTCAAATGTTTTTTAACAATTTCCCTCAGAACATCAGGAGATGTTGAATCCCTGAATCCAGTGCTGTGCTGCCATCTAATTGTAAACTTCATATGAAGAATATGAACTTGATCAGATTTGTATTGTGTTTAAAAAAATAGAAAACTATTCCCTCTGTAAAAACCATCTGTACACTCAAAACCTCTTTTGAATGTATTGTATTATCAAGATATATCTATATATATATATATAGAGAGAGAGATATATATATACAGTCGCTACTTAATAGGTAAGAATCAATTTAAATCAGCTAAAGTCTTTACTTGTATTTATTTATTATATTCTATAGGAATCATCTGGAACTTGATTCAAAGTGTGAATACCGCTCTCCATTGCTTTTTTATTTTTGCTACTGATTAGTTAAACTGTTGTACAATCTCAGCAGCAAACCTATAATACTGTGATTTCTAAAATAAGGATTTCTGTGAAAATTCCAAACTCTAGCCATTCCATACGAAAGTGAGATTTATATTCCTGTCAAGTACCCTATTGATTAAAAGTCATAGCTCCAGGGCTGTATGTTATCTTGCTCTGTCCCTCCCTCCATCTCCTCCTCCTTCCCTCTTGTATTTGCTCATCTGAAGTACACACCATGCCTTGTGGGCAGAGCTTTCAGGAAATAAAGCAAAGTCCGTTAAGACTTTATCTTTTTTTTTTTTTTTCCTTTGTTCATCCCTACTTTGACAGTTTTGTGCTTTGATGGAGGATCTTTGTTTTATTTTATTTGTAAGTTTTTTTTAAAATTTAGTATACCCATCTTCAGTTGTGTTACTCCTGGAATGGTGCTGTTGGATAGCATGAAGCACATTTCCATTTAAAAACTAGAATTAGTGTTGTGTAGGAGCTTTGAGCATACATTCACCTTCTATTTTGCAGCGTTTCTTTAATGACAAATGATTACATTTCTCCCCAAAAATTAGTATTTTTGTTTCCTTTAGGTAGGTAATTTCAGTTGGTAAAAACCCATAGTACTTTCCTAATCAGAAGGAACTGATTAGAGTGGTTAGTTTCTTCAAAGTAACTAGACTGTAAAACATTTTAAAAAAACCAAATAAAAATACTAAGAGTTTTGTTTTCCTCCTGAATTTTGATAATGAAATATGCCATTGACAGTAGCAGGAAAACCATATTTTTAGGTGAAAACTATTACTTCAAGGAAGTTTTGTTTAATTTTCTCTAATATTTGATTTACTAATCATTTTATTTCCTCATAGAATTCAATCTACGGAGGTTTTAAAATTTCCATATGTTACAGTGTATCTGTGTGCAGGATTATACGCAGATAACTTCTCAGGGGAATGGGCATGTGGAAATGTAAATACTATGCTAGGGGAATGTTTCAAAATTAATATTTTGATATTAATTGAGAGAATTTTACAAGATACAAGGAAGAAAAATGAGAAAATGGTGGAATTGAGTGAGTAGTTAAATAATTCTTTGAGAAGTTTCAGTATGTCTGTGCTCTCCGAGCATAAACCTTCACCTGCCAATGTGTCTGTAGCTTTTGTCATCCCTTGTAAATCTCAAGATATTAATGAGGATATGGATACAGAGTTACAAATGCTTGGTGGAAATAAGGTTTCATAGTGAAGTTTTCAAATTGTCAGGTTTTACTGGACATAGTGTAACATTTATTGCACTGTACTTCCCAGGTCCAGCGATTGCTGTAGTTTTGGGGGAAGGAAATCAATCTCTCTTGTTAAGTACTTTCCACTGTGGCAGATTTCAGGCTATTGGATGTGCCTTATTGGCACTGAAACTGTATGATTGAATGGTGGGAAGGTTAGATATCGTGTTAGTGTATCTACGTTCGCAGTGATAAAATAATACTAATAATACCTAACTGGGAAACATTAAAATGTTGGGAACATCTGCTGTGGTAAAAAAACTACCAGAAAACCATGCAAGAACTGGACTAAAATTGGGTCTCGGAACTGTAATGAAGAACTACTAGTTGGAAATAAAACATTGCGAGGGAAAAAAAATCCTTGTTTTCAATCTTGTATTTTATAGTATGTTTTATGTAGATGTAAGAAGGATAAATGTGAAGTTGTAAAGTGTATGGATCTAGGGTCTTCTAGAATGAAAAAGTAATGTTTTGCTCATTTTAATGCTAATAAATGTTTAGAGTATTAATTTCTTAGCTATACTGTTATTTCTTCTGAAAAGGTCAAAGAAATACTATTTTATTTATAAAAATATATCCTATTTATTTGGCAAAATCTTCCCTGTATGCAAGCTTTAAATAGCTATTTAATAATGTAAGGATCCGTGCATAAATAATAAGCATTTATTGATAGTTTGGTTTGTATAAAAATAAGATTTTTTAGTTTAAAGGCGCCTGCTAGTATATAGATTCAATACTTTAATATTATGGCCTATATTCTGGAAACAAATGTCATTAGTTCTGTTTAAATCCAGTGTGAGTGGTAAAAAAGGCAGTAAGACTTTTGGAATGCAGTAATTTTAAAACAGTCAGTATGGATATTCCTCATTTACTGTATTATCTTTTATTTAGAAATTTACCAGGGAGGTGGTGGATTTCACCATCCCTGGATGTTTTCAGGATGAGACTGGATGTGGCACTTAGTGCCATGGTCTAGTTACCATGGTCGGGTTGGACTTGATGATCTTGGAGGTCTTT